TAACTTTTAATGAACAGGGCCGTATTGACTAACTTTTTAATAACTAAAAACATGCTCTCTTATTTTCCAGAGTATCAAAAAATTTACTTGAAAAAGTTGCTTAAGAATTAAAAGATCTATGTATACGCAGTTATCAACTTATATGAGACACCCTGTATAGGTACTATAGTACTTGTAGAACGTACCGGAGACTCCGGATAGTACGGTTGTTTTTCGTTCTAGTACCGTAGTCTCGGTTGAATGTAGATTTCTTTGTTCGTCTCGATTTCTACGTAATTTTATTTCGTTACGGAATACCGGTACACAGATGAGTGGTTTCGAGCGTTGCGGAGAAAATGAAGACCGAACAATAACAAAGCGAACGAAAAAAAAATAAATAAATATAAATAAAATAAATTGCCATTATGAAATTCTAGCTCTCGAATTCGATTGTGAATTCGTTCGATTCGTTTTAATTCGTTGTTTTACATCGGAAAAATCGAGTCAGTCAGCGACTGTTTCGAGATTATAATTAAGGGATTGTGTAAGCAAATTTGCACTCAATATACGGTGCAACAAAGACGACTTTCGTTAGTCGAATATGAAGGTAAAAAAAAGGATGATTATAGGATTGCAACTTTCTTACTCTAACCACAATTATTTTAATATTATTTCTTTGTTCAATTCGTTTTGAATTGGCGAATTTGCACTTACCCGTATACAGGGTGTCCTGAAAACAGATGTTAATAATAATAATGACATCAAAATAAGGGTACTTCATTTGACCCCCTTTTTTGAGCCTTTAAGTTGAAAATTATGAATCTTATTTCCAAATTATTAACAATTCGTAACTTTTATGGGGACAATCTGTACTAGACAAACATATGGTAAATACATTCTTTAATTGATGAACTAATAAAATTGTACTCTTGTTTGAAGTCGATAAAATTAACGGTTTAAGAGAAATTGGAATTTTTAAATGAGGATGATGGGCAGGGGAGGTTCAAAAATGGGAAGACGATATCCCAGCATTTCTGGGACACCCTGTAGGTACAATATTATTCCTTTTACACACACAAAAACTAAAAAACAACTCCCCTCCAAGAAAGAAGCAACCAATCACGATTCCACACTAAGAAAAGTGCCTCATCATACACCAAAAAAAAGAATCAAATTTCCTTACAGAATGCAACTCATTTGAGCAAATCGCCCGCTAAAATCCCAGATTGATCGGATTGCTCGTGTGCGGGGGGAGAACCCAGCTATATCATGTCGAAAGGCCGCGCCGATAAATCCACTTCGCCCGCGTTTTGAATTAACCGTTTTCACCTGACCCGCTCTCCTAGAATCGAATCGGCTACTCGGAGATACGAGAAGTACAGTGCATCGTGCTCGAATATATATACAGAGTGCGCCCGCGATTTCGTTCGAATGCGACCGTAAATAAGACCATTATGGAAATTCGAAGTCGGCTAATCGAGAGCCGCCTTCTCTTCCATTCGCTCTCTCCGCGGTTACAATTTTACAATGGAATTTAACAGTCTCTCGCTCGAGATGGATAGAGTTCGGATTTTAGAGAGTAAAAACAATCGGTTTGCTAATGATGGTTCGAATTTGGTGTAAAAGTTCATTAAATATATTTGGTTGTTGTCCAAATGATGGGCAGTTGTGTTGCTCACGATTGTATCAAGAAAGCTGGATTTTTCTGGAGAGCATTGTGACCAACTTTTAAAAATAAATACACTAAATAGATTTTAAGCTTAATATCTGCAGAATTTAATTAGATAGTAACGAGGGGTGATAGAAAGTGTTAAAAAACAGAATTAAATCAACTAAAATAATATATATTGTCAAAATTCCACGTTTGTATGTAAAATTATTATTATTTTCTTATAGTAGGTTGGTAGGCATTGACTGTCAAGTTGCGTTGTTGCCGGTTGTCATTCGATCGGTACTTTAAATGTTCAATTTCTTCTTTTTTCTAGTTTACTAGCCTCAACTACAAAAGGCTATTCAGTCGAATAATCAAGAAATAAGAATTTTTTCCTTAGTTATCTTTTCCTCATGTTAGAAAAGGCACAATTTAAGCTCTAAGTACTCTTTCAAGAGTCAATTGTAAACTAAATTTTGTACTCGCAATGTTAAATAAATTTCAGATGATAAAAGAATTTGACGATTAATTATAGTGAGCTCCTGAATACATCCCTCGTTTAAAAACTTGAAACAGGTACCCCTAATTTTCAATTTGTTCTTGTCATTTTGCCATTTGACAATTTTAGAAAATACTCAGATTTCGTAAACTCTACAAAAGTTCGGCAACACTGCCTACTTGGGACTTAGTAAAATCACAGGTATATTGATATTTGTTTTGCACCGACTGTAAGACGATGGTTTTTTTTTATTTGTAATCGTTTCGGAGTTTTCCTTATTTTATCTCCGATGCAATTATGCGCATCAGGCCGCCTACTTTGCGACGACGCGCTGACGAACAACCGTTACATTGTGTTTTGTCGTTCTGTGCCAGGTAGCTTTCTCTATGATTTTTTTTTTAATACCTATTTGATTTAAGACTTCGCGCAACTAAAAACGAGGATTCGACTATCGGGTCGACTATATACAGATGGTTTAATTCGTCACTAGAATACAAGCTATTGCTTTACTAAAAAACAACATTTTGTGTCACAGATTTTCTATGTGATTTATTTGATCAATAAATAGAGCAGAGTGGTGTAAAGTAGAGTGAAATATCAAACGGTTATTTTGTAACAGTCGTTACTGCACCTCTATACCAAAATATCCAATCCCACCTCTATTAAACTTCTGTCATACGAAACGTCATTAATGTCAATTTTGAGATTTCTCGTATCATCGAACGCATCTTAAAGTCTCACCTCAGACAAATTAGCCAGATTATCAACAACAAGAGCTCGAGAATAACAAAAAAAAACCTCATTCGTGTAAAAAGCCAGCGGAAAACGCGATGTAGGAAAGTAAACTACCGCAAAGGGGTCGACGAAACACGTGTTTCTCCGAACGAAACAAACTTTCGAACGTATATAGAACTTTCGGGCCCTTTCCGCCTCCGCCCCGCCGCTTTTCTGACCATCTGCCCGTGCATTTTCTATAGCATGGGGTCTCTCTTCGCACGAACATACATCAAAATCGCACGGAATTGTGAACGCACAGAAGAATGCACTCCTACTAACGCGCCAGAGGTGTATTCAAACCAAGCAATGTCTCCACTACGAATCAAAAAAATGTTTCAAAATTCAAGCCTAGTACTGGCAATTTTCATTCGCCTCGATATTTCCCCCAATTCATCAAAAAACATTACATAAATTATTGCTACTTATCTAACCGATTTTCTACCTAAAATAAAACGCAGAATAATCGAGTTATCGGGTTGAAATTTACTGCAGATGTAGTGCACATGTTACAATTTACGTATTGCATTCGAAGTAGTTCATATGACCACCATACAGCGATCGATTCATTTGATCTAATTTTCATTCGGTCATCAAAAGGAATGGTCCAATCGAAAGACCATGCACCACACTCGCACGATTTGACACCGTTGGATTTTTCTTTATGAGGTTGCCAAGTCGAAGGTTCGACCAACAATCCGGTAACTTTTAGATGGGCTCGGGGATAAAATCGAACGCGAAATTGCCAATATTCCATTATTAAAGTGGATCCAAAGCAACAGATCGCTGTGATAATAGTACTCATAGTGGTCATATGAACTACGTGAATTGCCGTACATAATTGTAACATGTGAACTACCCCTGGACCAAATTTCGCCCCGATACCTCAATTATTCCCTTATTTATTTAGGTCGAAAATTGTTGGAGACGAATCGGTTCCTCTGAATCCAACCCTGTACCGTTCCGAACCGAATTCGTTAGGCTCTACATTTCTACTTTCTACCTACCTACTGCATTTTAGTAATCTATATATATACCCCGGTATCTAGGAAACACGACAAGCAGGCGAGACGCGTCGCATCCCTTATTCCCTCGCCCGGCTTTTTCTACCTACCCCTTGGATGTGCCGTGGAACATCGCGGGGGTCGAGGGGGTAACGAATGGATTTATATATTCATTGAAATTGCCTCGATGTATTGTGTACTTTATGCGAAGGCCCGCTCAATCTGATTAGAGGGTCGGTTAGGGTGCGGTATTTTCGGGCGAAATAACGCAAATCCAGCGAGGTACTAATAATAGTTTGTTGTGAATTGTGAATAATTGAAGGGGTAGAAAAATGACTTACTCGTAAAAGTATAACGATTATTTCTATCAGCGCCCACCTCTAATCTAATACGAATCTCCCTATCTAAGTGACAGTTAGTGAGGTTATTAACAGGTAGTAGAGGTGGGGTTTTTGTAAACACCAGTTATTTTGTCACTATTGTTTGTATCAACAGGTATTGGGATAGGCACCATTTTCGATTAGAATCCAACGATTCAAAAGCGATATATCATTTAATTGATCAACGAGTAGGCATAACGAGATCGGCGATGAAAAAAAAAAACTAAGCCTACTCTCTAATTTTGTTTTCGATCTCGTTATAATCGAATGTAAAGCAGATTAAAGTGAAGGAACGCGAAAATCGTCAATTACATAAATCGTAAACGTCATCGCAATGAATAATTCGTTGTATCGACAATTCCAATTGTCATTTTGTTATTGTTCGATGTCGAATAATTATTGTAATGTTCATAAGCGATGATCGAATGCAATCATCACACATACGGCTGATTATTCGACAAATTTTTAAAAAGTGTAACTAATCCCCTAGACTAATACCTGGAAAATTCATTTAATAATAGTACGGGAGATTTGGTTAAACAAAATCAATCGAAACGATCGAGATGATTAATTGATCATTGTTTAATCGTAACTGAATCCCCCTGACTAATACGGGAAATTTTATATGTCAATAGTACGGGAGATTAGGTTAAAAAAAAAAAGAACCAATATAGTACCAACATTCACAACGAACCAAATCGTACGACACTCACCTCCTGAATCCGTTGCCGGGAAACGGGAACCTAAATCCGACGGGCGGCGGTACGGGAACGGCGACGGGGGCGGCCCCTTGCACGACGGGCGGCGGCCCTTGAAACACGAACCCACTGTTAGACACCACCCCGTTCGGCACGACCGTCTGCAGGACGGCGCCCTGCGGCACCGCCGCCCCCACCCCCACCGGCGGCGGCGGCGGCGGCAACACTCGCGGCGGCACCAGCGTCGACGACGTCGCGTACGGCGGCGGCAGGTGGCTGTTCAATATGTCCGGCAGCCGGTCATTGTGACCGGCGCCGATCTGCGTGCTGGAATCCACCGATTGACGGTTGCTGTTGTTGTTGTTGTTGTGGAGGCGGCGCTGTTGCCGCCTCTCTCTCCGCTCTCGTCGCCGTTGCTCCCTGTCGGGTTCGTTCGACGCCTGCAGGATCGGTACGTCGTCGGTTTGCGCTTCGGTACTCGTAAACGTTCTCGTCGATTTCGCCGGACCGATTTGCACGTTCGATTTGCTAATCGTCGGTACCGTCCGACTATTGGTACCGCCACCGATCGACGTCGTACTGACGGTACAAGGCGTCGCGAAGAAATTCGTAATCGACGTCGTCACGTCGTTGTTGTGCAGCACCACTTGGTGCGTGGCGGCGGCGGTACCGGCCGTCGGATTCCCCAACGGTAGTACCTGCACGTTGGACACCTCGTTGCCCTGCAGGCTGTTCAGGCAATGTATCGTCGGTACCGAGGAGATCACGTTGACGGGTACGGCCCTGTAGAAACTGGCGTCGCCGGCGGTACCGCACCTGGAACTGTTCACCAACGTGCTGGTGGTGGTCGTGGCGGTGGCGTTGCATTCCCGTACGATCGGTACCGATTGGCACCGGTTGTTAACAACATTCACCGGTACTACGTTGTTGTTGTTGTTGTTGGCGGGTCTCGAAAAGTGCTCGCTGGGTTCGGATACGTTCCTCGAATGCTTCGGTACGACATTATGGCCGGACGGTCTCGCTTGCACGGGTACCGACGAGTACCGAACGTGATTGGGCAAACCCACGACGTTCGCCGAACTCAAGTTGCTTTGGAACAACGACGCTCCGGTACTGACGTTGCTATCGTTGTCGTCGGGAGGCGGTTGCTGCGAGGAGGCGGCGGTACTACTCATGTCGCGGTACTCGAGCGCGTCGACATAACTCGGACGGGCGGGCGAATCGATCGCTCCGGCGCTGCGACTGCGACTGGTCGCGGTGCTCGAGCCGGAGGTGCGCGAGGCGGCTGTGGCTCCGTCGCTCGGCTGGCGTTCGTCGAAGGTCGGGTCACGTGAGGGCGAGCCGGGCGGGGATTGGGCGGCGAGCGCGAGCGGGTTAATAACCATTTGGTCGTATAACCAAGTGGTCGAAGGCGGAGGATGCGGGTCGGCGAGGCTGCGACAGGAGCAGGAGGTGCTCGGGCTCGCGTCGGTCTTTGTGATTTCGTCAAGGTCGTCGTACGATGAGGACGGGCTGGCGCAGTACGAGCTGGAAATTCGAGGGGGGTGCTGTTAGTGGCGGGGTTGGTACTGTGAGGGGTGGTTTGGTGTTGTAATGATTGGGTTTTGTGTGATTGGAAAACTTCGATTTTCTCGATAATTAGTAGAGATAAGAAATTGAGATTTTCGTTGTTTTATAGAAAAAAACATTCTCCGCAATTTTGGAAGAATCAAAAATTTTCATAAAACCCAAAATTTCCGAGATATTTTGACTTATTTGTTATAAATACATGAAAAAACGCAAAATTTTAGTTCAAATCTATAAAAAAACTTCAATTATCTCGATAATTAATCGAAATAAAAAATTGAAATTTTCATCTTTTTATAGAAAAAACCATTCTCTGTAATTTTGGAGGAATCAAAAATTTTCATAAAACCCAAAATTTATGAGATATTTTGACTTATTTGTTATAAATACATGAAAAAAAAACAAAATTTTAGTGCAAGTTTATAAAAAACTTCAATTTTCTCGATAATCAATCGATATAAGAAATCGAAATTTTCATCATTTTATAGAAAAAACAATTCTCTACAACTTTAAAAGAATAAAACATTTTCATAAAACCCAAAATTTCCGAGATATTACCACTTGTTTATCACACAAGTCCTTAAAATGAGATTTCTCTCCATAATTAGAATAGTCCCTATAGCTAGAGCCTTCAACTCTTCAACTCTAGATCTCCATATAAATAATAATCTTTGCACATTCTTCCATTTGCAGGCCTCAACAAACGAGGCTATTCGACCAAACCTTATAAACTCCAATTTACCCGTCTAATCAGCCAAACATAAATTTCCGAAAATCCCTCGTTTTACCTGAAAGGCGACGTCGAATGCGAATGCCTGGTGACTTGATACTCGTACGGTTGCCACAACAGGGAATTCAGAGCCTCCTCGACGTTCTGATGTACGCTGTTCCTGTTCTTTTTCCCGTTATCTATCCCGTTTATTCGCTCGTTATCCGAACCTGCGTAGAACGAGCCGCCTTTGATCACGTAATTATCGCAATTGTCCTTTCGCAGCGTGTCGACGTCGAGGGTTTTCAACGAATTTACGTTCCTAGTTTCCCTAAAAAAATATATATAATAGGTATTCAAATGCGATTAACACCAACTAATTCGTACGTTCTATAAATATATTGACGACACCTCGTAGAAAACGCATGTTGTTCAAATGTACTAAACACAAACTAATTTGTACGAAATATATTGACGAGACCTGGTAGCAAAAGCGCGTTATTTACGAGGACCGTTTAATAATTAATAGTCCGAAGTTCGTCGAAAGTAATTCTCCGATTACTTACCTCGTGTTGATGAGGACCGGCGACTTCTTCAAGCAAAGCAACTTGGGTAAACTTTGTTTCAAACTGATGTTCTTCTCCATCTCGCTTTGTCCGTATAGGTGTATTTAGAAAAATAAAAGACCCGTCCGGCTGGAAACTCCGGAAAGCACCGGCGAAACGGCGTTGGGACCGAGATAAAGGCGGTTTTTCCAGTAGTTTTCCGGCTCATCGAAGGATCGTACGTCCCGCTGGATGGCCGTTAAACCGTCGGATCGCGTCCATTGAACGCAACTCATTCTGGAAAGAAAATTGTCCAAGAAAAACGGTCGGTTTTTCATAAAAAAATACCATTTTTTTAATATAAAAGAACGCGCGGCGAGAAATATATCGTGCGAACCTCGTAGTAAACACCCGCGTATATACGAGGATCGGTCGATAATTAACAACGCAACCGGTGCACAAATTTGCGTTTACAAAAAGAAATATTATGAAATTTAATCTGGTAGAGTGGATCCCCGAATAAAGGCGGAAAACTTTACGATTATACGCGACGAGACCCGAAATGAATTTCTCCCCCCGGGTTTTCCGGAAGTTTTCCAACGAATAAATAAATAAATAAATAAACTGTATAGGTTATTATTTCAACGAATATCGGAAAATGTTTCGTTCTTCTGGTATCGATTTACAATGAAGTATATACAGGGTGTTGATTGTGTTGACTGTATTGACATTTTTCTGTTCCACCCTGTATTTGATTTTTTGTTTATCGTTCAATTCATCGAGTACGTTCCTGCGGGTAGTTTCTTTTTAACCGGTGGTTTGTTCGGTTCGAAAAAAAAAGGGAAAACGAGTGTTTATCGATGTCGTTGAGTGCTGTTTTAACCCTCCGATATCACGAGAACAACTAAAAAAAAAATAAGGGAGGATATTTCGGTACTTAAGAGATTTGCTCTCGCGAAGAGGTTTATTTTCTCTCCGGAAAAGCGGAAAATCGCCTCTCTGTAATAGCACGTGACAGCAACTCGATTCGTCACCATTATACAGGGTGTTCCTAAACATCGCATGTACAGGGTGGCCAAATTAAGATGGCTCTCGGCCATATCTCGCATCAAACTAATTGTTATAAAGACTTCCGGTAAAAAATATTGACTAAATAGACTAAATAAAATGCTGGAAATACTTTTTAAGCGTCTAAAATGGCCGATAGGGGGAGTATCCGCCATTTTGATATTTTAAAGTCATTTTGTTTCAAAATATTCCTAAATAAAGGTATCAAAAATGGGTTTTATTTTGATTATAGTTGAGAATTTCAATTATTTTTTGTTATATATTTTTTACTCTATCTAAATAATAAATAATAAAATAATAAATGGGCAGTGGCGTTTCAACTACATAAAATTATTGAGTATGTAAATGTTTATAACAAATTCTAGTACATGAAATAAGTCAAGGAATTAGGTACCCCGTTTCGGATGTGCACTTATTTAGGAACACCCTATATATTCGAAAAAAAAAAAAATAAAATTTTATCGCTCATTTTTCGACCGAATCACCGGCTCGATTTTCCTCCTCTCCCGGGCGCGTAAATTTTAAATGCGCCGCATAAAAAGCTGATTTAATAAAACGAGGGGCGCGCGAGAGGGACGAGGGGAGAAAAGCGAATACAAACGCACAATGGTTGCGGTTGATGCGGGCTGACATCGGGATAACAAAAGGGAAAATGAATTTTCCGGGGGAGGAAAACCCCCCGCATCGGGTTTTCCACCTCGGACGTTTCGATTTAAAATCGCCCCACTTCCTCCCACCGAAAACGAATTAGACTTATCGGTTTTTGATCCACCGAGAAAATGGGACACACTGTATATATGTATAATTTATTTATACTACATGACCCACGTTTTTGTTACGCCCTGTATGCAGGGCGTTAATTAATCGAGTGTCGATACTTCAGGATGTGAATATTTGGATGATTAATAGTAAAAGAATTGTACACCAAACGAAATATACCAGGTTAATGCCATAATTTTCGGGCCAACGTAAAACGTCGAGAGAAATAATTAATAAACCAAACTAACAAGTTAGACAACCAGTGATGCATGTAGAGTGCAATATTAGGGAAAATCGCAATCAAGGGAAAATTCGACCGGTAATAGTGGCCCGCCCACCGAACAGGAAATAACGGGAAATTTACCTGAGTTCTTGCAGGAAACGATTTGACGTGGCCGCTTCCACAGAGCATAGATCACCGACGGTAATTCCTCGATAATTTCCCATCTTGCTAACGACATTTTCCTCTAATCTGCAACAAAAAATATGCTCTATATGCATATAAAAAAAGAATATTTACTTGTACTAATAATTATTGGATAAGCCTCGTAAATAATTCGACTTTGCTACCAGGCCTTATCAATATATCTGCGCACTTTTCTTCAGCCAAAAATTTAACCCTGTTTGCTACAAACACATTTACCTACTTGTACTAATATTTGTTGGACAAGCCTCGTAAATAATTCGACTTTGCTACCAGGCTTTATCAATAAATCTGCGCACTTTTCTTCAGCCAAAAATTTAACCCTGTTTGCTACAAACACATTTACCTACTTGTACTAATAATTGTTGGACAAGCCTCGTACACAATTCGACTTTACTACGAGGCCTCGTCAATATATCTCCTCCACCAAAATCATCGAGCATCTCTACTCGGCTACAGATAGAAATTTAAAATGGGAACGGATCCGCTGGAAAACCGGTTTTCCTCCGAATTCGGAGCATATCCCCCGGAGGCACCGAGAATATATACCGAACGGGTCTCCATCGCCCCCGATATGCTATATAGCATGTAGTATATGCCCCGGCTATGTATAAGTACGGTACACCAAAGCCTTTTGATTGACGAGGGAACGAGCGGGAGGAGAGAAAAGGAAAGGAGGAAATCAGATCCGGACGGGTTCCGTGAAAATCGACGGGGACATTTGAATGTTAGCTCGACCCTTCCGGTCGCTCCGCGTCCTCCTAAATAATGGAGATCGAACGAAGTAGAAGTAATAGGGAGGACGGGGATCGACTCGACGTGCACGAGAAATACCGATAGTCTTACGAGGAGAGAGATTTCAATGCGATTTTATTTTTTTTTGACCTTTTGGAAATTTAAATTATCGAACAATCCTCGTACATTATGTTTTTTTTACGACATTTTTTACGAATTTCGATTTTTGATATATTTGAGAAATCGAAGTGTGCTTGAAATTATTGAATGATCCTCGTAAGTAGCATCATTACTACCGGGTCGTGTCAATATATCTCCATTAATAAGCATTTAGATACGTGTTAGAAACCGATGTGTGTTGGAAATTATGAAACAACCCTCGTAAAAAACATCATTACTACGAGGTCTTATCAATATATCTGCCATCATTATAACTTCATTCAACTGGAAAACTCGCATCACATTTAATTTCATACATTAACACACTCTGCTTAAGAACCAGTTCGAACCTGTTGGTCACCGGTTGCAATGCAATTTGCTGTTACACAAAGCGTCGAGAGCCGGGCGATTATATTTATCATTTTCCATTCTTCTTTCGCTTAGACCGGACGTCGAGTTTAAACTTGTTTTGCATGTTTATTCGCGCCGCGAACGATGCCGTTACGCTGTACATCATACTTACTGGATGGGCCCCTTAATGTGAAAATTTGAGCGCAATCCTCCGGACTAACGCACGGAATTTTGTTGCGTTATAGTACGGGCGATTCGGTTAATTGTCATTCGAGACAATATTTTCTACCAGCGAGTAATTTCGCACCTTATCAATTGGATGTATTTTCATGCTAGGAAAAGGCAATTTTATAAAAAATACCAAGAAGAAACCAAGTCGAAGAAACGCGAGTTTTATTATGACATTCATGACAAGTTGGAAATTTTAGCGCAATTCTCCGGACTAACGCACGAAATTTTGTTGCGTTATAGTACGGGCGATTCGGTTAAAAAATTATTTTTTATGTATTTTTAAGCGAATATTAAAATCTCTTAAATTTCAATTTAGTTTCATGCAGGCGCCTAGCGTTGCGTGTAATATACGCCAGATTTCATCGTCAGCGGGTTGTTGCGTTTAACGATCCCCACTTACACCCTAGTTTAATCGAATTTAACTCACCCTCCGGCCGGTATACCTTGTAATTTTATTCATAACTCCTGCCCCGTCTCTCGTGCGACATATTCGAATTTTCCAATTTCCCAATTCACTTTATATACGAGGGGAACTCGTGATTTAATACGCACGAAATAATATACGGAGCACACCCTGTACACACGAAGTTTTGGACCATTAATTATTGGATAGTACTCGTACAACGGCTTTACTACGAGGTCTCCTCGATATATTTTTCGCCTCGAAATTCGAAATTAAAAAGAAGAACCCGTGTGACACAAAAGTCAATCATATACTGTCATCGAAAAAAACTCTCAAGCAAAATTCCCATCACAGTGAACGAAATGAATACCTATTGCGCCGCAGGAGACGCCTCGTGTTCCTGCAACGAGCTGCGCCACCGTTGCCTGCTGGGCAAGATCGCCGGCCTGAAGCAGCAAATCGAGCGATTGAAGTTTCGCGTGAAGCTGGAGAAGCGCCAGCTGCACCAGGAGCAGGCCCAGATGCTCGTCTACAGCAGCCCGGACTATTTCGAACCGAGAAAAATGCACTTTTGCACCAACTCCTACGGCTTGACCACCGACAGGCTGAATCCCACCACCGGCCCTTACTCATAACTCATACTTAATCCATTATAAAGCTAAGAAACTCCAAATCGAAATTGAAATGTAACTTTTTAATAAATAAAGCAAGATATTATACTAAACCTACATTCACAGAACTTATATACGACAATTTCGGATCCAGAATTGCAAGGGGCGTAATTCCAACATTAATCCGTTTCTTGGGTAAATATAAACTGGTCAAAATAGTTGTGAATAAAATCCAAAACAACACTATGTGACACAATTTTCTTAACACTGATTTGATTTAAGTAGAATTGTCTATGGAATCATTTAGATTGCTTCAGGACAAATCTGAATTGTCGAGAACTATCCAAACTGATTTAGAAAGCATCCAAACAAACTAGAACTGGCTAGAACAATTTGAAACTATCCAGAATCTCACACAACCTGTCAAGGAAACTTTAAAAGTTGTATACACAAAATTAAATAATTCATTTAGTGCAATTGACCCGAATTCTGCGTGAAACTTTGAACCAATAAATATTATTTTTTTAATCTGAAACCCCTCGTAAATTTAGTGAATAGACCATACCCAATACATTACAAATTTAATATCTCCTCTCCCCGAGAGATTGAAAAAAAAATATGTCGTACCCACGCGTTATTTTCCGCGAAAAACGGAAATTAATAAACGCCACAAGGCGACCTCTGCCGGGCGTTATTTGCATAAAATTTCCCGCCCTTTAGTAAATTAATAAATCCCGCCCGCTAAGAAATAACCCCGGCGTAAATCCGGAAGGGCTCGGAGTTCGAGGAACAATATGCCGGTGGAAGGTAAACTCCCCATCAATTTTCCTAATTTTCGCTAAACGGAAATGCAAACAGTCATTTTTACGAGAGACGCGAGATTATCCGGCATTAATCAAACCGGTTAATGATGTACTAATATTTAATTTCACATCGGAATAAATAATATGTTAGGGTTGATGAATTTGTGTTAAAATATGATGAAAGACAGTACCAGTATAAGAAAGCATTTTTCTATACACAAAGGGAGACAATCTATACATATAGATTGTCCTATAATTGAATGAATTATTGGCTCGCCCTGTATATAGTATTTTTTTCCCTTGCGAAAAAGGCACTCGCCGCTTTTCCTATCTCCCTTTTATCGTATGCGATTGCTCTAGAAACCCCTAAGATAACGATCGCAACTAATGAGAGGGCGCTTTTCTAAGTGTACACCAGCCATATCGGATTTCCTTTGCTTTCCTTTTTGCTTTCCCGTCATCACACAGGTGTCGGTTTCTCATTTCCCGCGGCGTTTAACAAGTAGAAAGAAAACCGTCGGTTTTCCCATAAGGAGCAGTTGGTACATTTATTTTTGGTGATTTTTGGACCACCCTGTATAAAACGCGTTTGATTTTATAATTGAATCCAACAGAAATATCAATGAAGCGAGAAGTGAGAAACCGAAGTGTGTTTGAAATTATTGAATAAACCTCGTAATTAACGTTATTACTACGGGGTCTTGTCAATATATCTACACTCGAATAATTTCGACTTTTAATAAAATTTGAAAACCCGAAACAAATTCTGTATAAAAACGATGATATATATACAGCGTGTCTCAATTATAAGTTTCAAATATAGCGAGTGTAAAAAAGTGTGTAAACATCTAAACTCGATCAGATTATGTATCACCGTTCGAAGATGGAAAAGCGAGAAAAACTCCGATAGTTCAAGGTGAATTACGCGCGGAAATTCGTCGAACAAACAACGAACGGTCGGAAAAATATTGCTCACGTCCTATTATACAGGGTGTACCAAAATGACGTGATAATTAAGGAGTGATTTTTGGACCCACAAGTGAATTTATTTATTTTTATGCGAAACGGTGAGTCGTACGAAAAAAAGTCAAGTAATCAAATTTGTTTTAAATTGAATGAAGATTCCTAAAATAATTTTTATTTTAATATTAGGCAGTGGCGTACCATTTTTTTCTCCAAAAATATTCAATGCGAAACCCGTACGGACGCCGCTGCTGAAAATAATAAAATTATTTACATATCAAAAAATGCATTTTGATTCATAGAAAACGTGTACAAAATTTCATAAAAATATCCACAACAGTATCACAGTTATTACAAAAAATTGATCATTTTCTCAAAACTTTAACACCCTGTATCTCAAAAATTAAGACGTTTAGGACATACGTTCATACGAAGTTTTCCTCTTAAAACGGGCCCAACAATCACCCTCTTAAATATCAGCATATTCGAAACACCCTATATACAGCCGTTATTATCCGCTATGCGGGAGTTTTCCCCGAGTTTTCGAAGGTCCGTCAAAAGTCCCGCTTTCGAAACGCCCGACCTACTTTCTCCGGATTTTCCTCGACGCTTTTCCTCCGCTCACCGGGACGACATCCAGATGGAAAGCCGGTCGGGCACATCAACGCAAGGTGAATATTGATTCGGGACTGATTTAAAACGTGTACACGCCGGCTGGAATTCCAGGAATTAAATTTATAATTATGGGACTCGCCCTGTACAGCGAAAGACAGCGATTTGAAGTTGAAAAAATTGCATTAATCGTCTTATTAAGTCGAAAACTTTAGTTCCGGACAGTTCTAAATGATTCTGGAGCGTTCTAAATGGTTCTAAATGATTCAGATCGTGAATTTTTCACACTACCCTCGTAGTATCCTTATAGTATCACCTGTAGAAACGATACTGTACATAATTCAGAACCAGTTTCTCTATAAAATGTGCTAATAAATTAGGAAGATTCGGTATAGTTTGGGAAATTCGAGAGGAATTTCCCGTATACAATGTAACAATTTCCCGGGGCCGATACATAAATTGTTCGAACGCGGAAAAGTCGCCGCTAAAGGGGCAATAAGAAAGCGCACTTAACCCGGTTTTCCGGCGTGCACCTAATGGTTTTCCGATAAGTTTTCCTAACTATTAGGCCCCCCCGGTCTCGGTCTTTTGTCTACAGCGATTTCTTCGTTCAATCGTTGCGGGATTTCTCCGGGAGGCTGGAAAAATCGCCGGTTTATACAGGGTGTCTCAATTTTTTATTGTTAAAAAGTTAGTTAATACGGTCCTGTTCATTAAAAGTTAAAGGAACTGCTCAAAATTGTCGAGATTTTGATTGGAAACGCTTTGGAAACACTCTCTATAAATAATCAGCATGTCCACCAATTCATTATTTGTATAAAAATGAGCCATTTTTAATTCAACAATCGAAAAATTAATTTTTTGTTATTATTTATTTATTATTTTTTTGACACCTGTATGGTAATGACAGGTACGTATTGGAAAATATTCGAAATTTACAGAACCTTTTTTATTTTCCAGAATATTAAAAAAATCTACTCGAAAAAGTTGCTTAGAATTTAAAGATCTACCCGCAGTTTAAAAAAAAGTATCAACTTATGAGACACCCTGTATATCAGTGCGTTTGCCATCTCCCGGCGGAAAAATTACGGGACGTTTTCCGGCTTTCTTCTGTCGGTTTTTCTTTTTTTTTTCGACTCGCGTGCGCTCGAATTTTCCTTCTCGTGTCGTTGAAGCCAATTCGGCCGGTCTAAATGGAATTGATTCGATTTTAGGAAAAGCCGCAATTGAAAATCGCCATCGGATTCCATTCGACGGGTTAATTGAACTGTTGAAACCGGTTACACGTGTATATCGTCGATGAAAAATCGCTAATTTTCGGATACCCGATTCGTTTTCCACCAACTTTAAACGATTTTTTTTTATCTATTTTATATAGAATGTTACTGGAATATAGGCAACACACATTGCAGTAGGTGTATGGAAAGAAATTACATTTAATAACAAGTTTTTTTGAGAACAATTTACTAAATTCGTGGATGTTTAGCAAATTTTTGTGTTTCAGCAAATATTCGGAAATTTATTTGGCTCTCCCTGTATATATCCATTTCGAATCGATTAGAACGAAGAATCAAATGTCAATATCAATTTCAAAAGAATCGATTACTCTTTCGATACCGGTAACTAATTATACGAGGGTAAGGTGAAAAGTTCTGAACCTGAATCATTTAGAACAGTCTAGAACCATTTAGAACCCTCTTGAATCACAACAACGTCACTGTAGTGATATTGTAGCGACCTGAAGTGATATTACAGTGACGCTATATATTTTTTTATACCTGTTGTTGGCGTAAAACCGTCTGACCGATAAAATTTACGATCCGCGCCTAATCCTCGACCAAATTGGCGTCGGCGTCGCGACGGATTCGCTCGTAAAAACCGGCCTCGACCGCGGGAGTGTCTGGCTAATAAAAAAACACACACAAGGGTAGCTAAAAAAAACCCTTTCTTTTTTTAATCCCCGAACGAACGGACGCCCTTTCGCTAACCGAGAAAATTCGATTAGGAGCGTCGCGACGCTCGCCGGGCCGGATGAAAGGGACGATCGCATTACCATTTTATTTAAATTTTCGAATTCGATACCCGCGAAACCGAAACTCCGGGTTAACCTCCATTAGACGGCGCTGTTTCGAGTAAATCAATTACCCGCCGTCTTACTCTATTTGTTTCCGGTTATACTTATCTCGCGCCCCTCGTATACTCGTGTTTATCCTTTAATTAGGTTAACTTCGCGAATTCGGCTAACCGGAGATTTAATCGTTGCGGGACGAGTGCAATCGATCACCGCCCTTCGTGTATAATTAAATCGAACAAATCGGTGCGTATATCGCAATTATCAATTGCACCCATTTAGTGATTTATAATCCTAGATTTTTTTTTACTTGTTTCTCAACAAACAGGGTGTTTGTTGAGAATCTTTGTTGAGATCTTAATTATAGTTTTTCCGGACTTTTTTCGGATTTCCATTGCGCCCTTACAGGCGATTTACAGGGCGTTTTGTGGTCCAATTTCTCAGGTACATTGCGAATAGAACTCCTACGCTCGGGCGTAAATAAAACGGGCCGAAGGGGGAGCGCGATCGAGCGAAAATTTCCCGATTTTCCGGCGAACGAATCGCCCCGGTTTTTCCCATCCACTCCCGCATAATACCTGCTCCTTGCGAATTCAAAAGATTCCGCTAGATTTGGCGATCTATTAAATTATAATGGCGATAGATCGGGGATGGAATCGGATCGC